TGTGATTTATAGGCCCCCAGGACAAATTGAAGAGTTAGATAATCTACTAGTTGAGGAAATAGCTAAAATGACAATGAAGGGGGAAGTTCTCATCATGGGTGACTTTAATCTTCCTGATGTGAATTGGAAAACAAAAATAGCTGCTTGTGCCAGGAGCACACATATTCTAAACTCCCTACTGGGATTGTCTCTAAAACAAGTCATTGAGGAGCCAACTCGTAAAGAGGCCATACTAGATATAGTGTTAACAAATGGAGATTTGGTATCAGATATTACTGTAGGCGAAAGTTTAGGATCCAGTGATCAAAAGTCAGTGTGGTTTAATATAAGAACAGTGACTGAGTCACACCACACAAAAACAAAAGTTTTAGACTTTAGAAAAACAGACTTTTCTAAAATTAGAATATGTGTAAAGGAGTCATTATCAGACTGGAGCAATTTAAATGGAGTCCAAGAGAAATGGGATTATTTAAAAGTTGCACTACTGAAGGCAACTGAAAATTGCATTAGGCTTGTCAGTAAAAGCAAAAATTTCAATAAACCACTGTGGTACTCCGCAGATGTGGCCAAAATAGTAAAAAACAAAAAGTTAGCATTTAGTAATTATAAAAAAACCCAGACTGAGGAAGACAGAATGATTTATGAGATTAGGCAGTAAGAGACTAAGCAAGTTATAAGAGCTTCCAAATCACACACAGAGGAGAAAATAGCACAGTCAGTAAATAAGGGGGACAAAACTTTTTTTTAGATACATAAATGAGAAAAGAAAAGTAAAACAAGGATTCGTTAGATTAAAAACAAAAGAAGGAAGATATGTAGAAGAGGATAAAGGTCTAGCTGACTGCCTCAATGAATATTTTTGTTCAGTATTTACAGATGAAAATGAAGGAAATGGACCTCAGTTAAGAAAAAGGATAAATGAGTCATTTATTACACGTGCGTTTACAGAGGAAGAGGTTCTATTTCAACTGTCAAAAGTAAAGACAAATAAGTCAATGGGACCTGATGGAATACACCCAAAGCTGTTAAAAGAGCTTAGTGGTGTACTAGCAAAACCATTAACAGATTTATTTAATCAATCATTGTTAACAGGAGTAGTCCCAGAAGATTGGAAGTTAGCGAATGTTGTGCCCATTCACAAGAAAGATAATAGGGAGGAGTCGGGCAACTATAGGCCAGTAAGCCTTACTTCAGTAGTGGGGAAAGTGATGGAAACCATGTTAAAGGATAGGATTGTTGAACATCTAAAACACATGGATTTCAAGATCAGAGACAACATGGGTTTACTTCAGGGAGATCATGCCAAACTAATCTTATTAATTTTTTTGATTGGGTAACTAAAATTATAGATCAGGGTGGTGCAGTAGACATTGCTTACCTAGATTTCAGTAAGGCTTACCAATAAACTGCAATCTTTAAGTTTGGATTCCAATATTGTTGAATGGGTAAGGCAGTGGCTGAGTGACAGGCAACAGAGGGTTGTAGTCAATGGAGTATATTCGAAGCTTGGGCTTGTCACCAGTGGGGTACCTCAGGGTCTGTACTTGGACCTATTCTCTTTAATATTTTTATTAGTAATATTGCAGAAGGTCTTGATGGTAAGGTATGTCTTTTTGCTGATGATACTAAGATATGTAACAGGGTTGATGTGCCAGGAGGGATAAGCCAAATGGCAAATGATTTAGGTAAACTAGAAAAATGGTCAGAGTTGTGGCAACTGACATTTAATGTGGATAAGTGCAAGATAATGCATCTTGGACGTAAAAACCCAAGGGCAGAGTACAGAATATTTGATAGAGTCCTAACCTCAACATATGAGGAAAGGGATTTAGGGGTGATTATTTCTGATGACTTAAAGGTAGGCAGACAATGTAATAGAGCAGCAGGAAATGCTAGCAGAATGCTTGGTTGTATAGGGAGAGGTATTAGCAGTAGAAAGAGGGAAGTGCTCATGCCATTGTACAGAACACTGGTGAGACCTCACTTGGAGTATTGTATGCAGTACTGGAGACCGTATCTTCAGAAGGATATTGATACTTTAGAGAGTTCAGAGAAGGGCTACTAAACTGGTTCATGGATTGCAGGATAAAACTTACCAGGAAAGGTTAAAGGATCTTAACATGTATAGCTTGGAGGAAAGACGAGACGGGGGATATGATAGAAACATTTAAATACATAAAGGGAATCAACACAGTAAAGGAAGAGACTATATTTAAAAGAAGTATTACTTTACTGAGAGGGTAGTGGATGCATGGAATAGCCTTTCAGCTGAAGTGGTAGAGATTAACACAGTAAAAGAGTTTAAGCATGCGTGGGATAGGCATAAGGTTATCCTAACTATAAGATAAGACTAGGGACTAATGAAAGTATTTAGAAAATTGGGCAGACTAGATGGGCCAAATGATTCTTATCTGCCGTCACATTCTAAGTGAAGGTGATGGTGGGGAAATATAAACCAGGGGATGAGAGAACTTAACCAAAGTATATACAAACTCGCCCACAAATAGGGCTTTTTGACAGTGTTTGGAACTCTGTGGTGTGCATTTAAGCAGTAAGTGTGACTCATCCCTATGCTTTTGGGGATGGCATATGAGTGTTTCACCATTTGTGCGACTTATTGACCATTATCCATATATGCATCTCGACAGGCATTATCTTTTTCAGAGAGCAACATAAAAGCACAAAGAGAAAACATTTTGAACATTTAGGTGCTACCTCTTCGCTAATAACAGTGTCGTTACTATCTTAAAGATAATAAAAGTGCATAGACCATGTCACTTTGACAGGAGATTAATTTTACATCTATAAAGAAGTCCTTTCCTTTTTTTTATACAAGTATATCTAGGGTGTTAAGGTAATCATGATTCAATCATGATGCCCCTGTATTGTAGCAGAGAGGTGATAGCAAACCTTAGCTAAAAGTTAATGCTGAACTAGACCATAAAAAAAAAAAAAAAAAATATCTGTCTAGATCAGGGGTAGTCAACCTTTCTCTACCTACCGCCCACTAATGCATCTTTCTTGATGGAAAAATTTCCTTACCGCCCACCAGTTTTCGCGCAAGTGCAGAATATTTTTTAGAAAGGAGGGCGTTTTAAAAAATAAATAAAAATGTACGTACGTTTATCTTTTTATTTCTACTTTATGCATGCTTATAAAGTTTTTAACTTTATAAAGTTTAATGAGAAAACAATAAAGTAAATTGAAATTACCTTTAACTAGTGATTAATGAGATCCTTGAGGTTGATGCTGCGAGACTAAATATTTGATATCTGGTTCGATTTTCGTAAGGAACAAACGAAGGTCTCCTCTTTCGGTGATATTCAGATGACTTCTCTGTTTGCTCATAATATAATTTCTCAGCTGTGCATCAGCTGCCCTCCTCTCCCCCTCCTCAATTCCCTCACCCCCATATACTTTTCCCCCCTTTTTTCTTTTTTTTTACCTTCATTATAACAATGCCCAGCAAGCAAGAGGTAGGAAGCCCACTTACTATTATTAGGCAACAACAATTATCTCCTTTTCCTTTATATATTTTTTATTTTCCTTCTTTCTCCTATTTTACAAGTACTCTGCTCCTCCTTTCTCCTTTTTACAAGTACTCTCCTACTTTCTTCTTTTCTACAAGTAATCTTCTCCATCTTTCTCATTTTTTACAACTACTCTCCTCCTTTATTTTATCCCCTTTTTTCAATTTTTTCCATTTTTTTGCTCTTTTCCTTTTTATCTCTTTTTTTATAATGCATTTCTTTTACCTTCCTTATGGCAATGTACAAAAGTAAGGCTGAGCTAGTCAGCCCACTTATTATTATTAGCCAACAACAATTCTCTCCTTGTTCTGCCTATAACTTTCTTTCTCCTATTTTACAACTGCTCTGCTCCGCTTCTGCCTGTCCTTGCGATTGTGCATCAGCCCCCACTCCTCCCCTTCCTCTTCCCACTTGTTACATGTTTGCGCGCGCATGCACGCGTTTGCTTGTTCGTGTGTTCACATGCACACATTCCAGCGTGCGTTCATATTTTCATGTGTGCATTCACGCCCGCCCACTCTCTCAAAAGGAGGATTTAGCATTTTAGCTTGTTGTGCAACCGAAATGCCTACCTCCCACCTGGAATCCTGAAACGCCCACTACTGGGCGGTAGGGACCAGGTTGACGACTAATGGTCTAGATGAACTATCAATTTAGACTTAATAATACTTGCAGAACCATCATTTGTGGAGATATCATTGTGCTGTAGCACATGCAGAGAGTCTCTTTAGGTCTAGTAGTCATGGTGTAGGTGGAAAGCAAACCTCCTGATTTGTGGGAATCATATCTTTGCCTGTTTACATTCGGGCAATATTTGGTGGGGCAATGTTGGCACAGAGGTTGGTTACATAGTTACATAGCTGAAAAGAGAATGGCGTCCATCAAGTTCAGCCTTCCTCGCATTTGTTTTTTGCTGTTGATCCAAAAGAAGGCAAAAAAAACATTTTGAAGCACTTTCAATTTTGCAACAAGTGAGGAAAAAATTTCATTCTTGACCCCAGAATGGCAGTCAGATTTATCCTTGGATCAAGCAGTTATTACCCTACATTGAAAGATTATATCCTTGAATATTCTGTTTTTGCAAGTATGCATCTAGTAGCTGTTTGAACATCTGTATGGACTCTGATAAAACCACTTCTTCAGGCAGAGAATTCCACATCCTTATTGTTCTTACAGTAAAAAATACCTTTCATTTGCCTTAGAAGAAATCTTCTTTCTTCCAGTCTAAACGCATTACCTCGTGTCCTATGTTTGAGCATGGAGGAGGCCCAATTATTGCAACAGCGTGAGGCCATCTCCAGGTTTCATACTCATGGTAGAGATGCCATTGCAGAGCACTACGAACTTTGTGGGGTATTATCATGGGGTAGTGAATGTGGTTGTGTCAGAGTGTCTGATATTTTCTAAAAAGCCTTTCTTTTTTGGAGTGTTGCTGCTGAGAGATCGGTATATATATATATATATATATATATATATATCAACAAAAATCTATCTTTATAGATCTTGGGGTGAACTCTATTTCAGAGAATCAATTCTTTGACATGGTGATAGTGTGCTGGCAGCAAAACATCTTGTGGGACAGAATCGGTTAAATGTCTGGGCTTATGGACTCTGTGAATTCTGTCCAAAAATAGCATGTCAGATGCGAGGTCTGGAGCTTTCAATAAACTATATACAAACGTATACGGGTAAGTCCATAGGGGTTACCACTTCATGTACTCCTGTAAGATGTAAATTATTCCATAAGCTTGGTTCCATAATTTTCCATTTGCAGTTCCAACTGTTGGAATTTATCCGCTAGCGAATTATGGGCCTCTGCAAATTCGCCTAGCTTCACGTCCTCCACATGCAGGTGTAGATTCTCCACATTTGTCTTCCAAGTAGTTATAGACTCTCCAATAAGGTTTGTAGGAAAGATTTGATGATAAGGTCTGTTTCAGGAGTCCAGAGAGACTGAAGTGCAGTTGCCCATGTCCTCTGCTCCATATTGGGACTTTGTCTGTGCAGTCAATTTTGCAGACATATTTTTCTGGCCAAAACAAAATAAGCCTGTTGCCTTTATCCTGGCATCACTTTGATTGGGATATATCTTCTCAGATACTTATCAGGCCCGTTAGCTGAGATAAGTCACCCTAAATATTGCAATGCCCATTTGCAAGGAGTTCCTCTCTAGGCTTCGATCTTGCTAGGCTTCTGGCCATGCTCCCTTCTACCAACTTTTTAATGTGTCCTAAAAGTATTGCAGATCACTTATTGTCAGGAAATCACAGCAAGGTGAGGCAAAAATCATTAACCAAAATTAGGGATTTATTGGAGAATGTAGTATAGAATATAGGTTTACAGTGTCTCCTTTGTATAAACAAAGCTTTCTAGGTAGCCATCTGTATGTTCTGAGCAGGTAGTAATGGTAAGGGGCAAAAGTGTTGATTACCTACTACCGGAAACAAAGCCAGTCTATAATTTTCATGGTCTTTCACATGATTGTGAAGGGCAAAAGAATAGACTCTAATTTTACAAATAAGGAATGCACATCCTACAATTTGCAGCATGCAATCTGTTCCAGTCTAGCAGAAACTTGCCAAAGGCATCATCAGCATTAAAGCTGACCTCACTGGGTAGATTTCTGTATTATTTGTGATGTACTAAAGTCAGGACAATTATTTTAAACAGACATGTATTTTCCCTTTAAGCCCATATGACTTTAAAAATATAATCCAATAAAATACTGTTATAATAAAAGAACATGCACATCATCCAATGAAGGATGCTGATAAGTAGTCTTGAAAGATAATTTAGTGAATTACATTACTTGGTAGTAAATTATAATAATGTATTAGCAGCATATATACAGTACTCATTAGGATACAATATATTTTATGAGTGTCTGTGAGCTTCAGAATCTTTCACATTATCACTGCTATAATTGTGGTTCTTGACCCCCTATCTCAAGACATATATATTCTTGGCAGGTCCTACTATAGCAGCCTAATGCCTGCCCTAGAATTAGGCTGCTAGAGTAGGAGCTGCCAAGAATGGGGTACATTGACGTTGTGGCAAGCTTATGCACTATATGATCATATAATGTAACTAAACCTCCATTATTTTTTGCCTAAATAAGGTGTTTTTAAATAAAACTATTACAATCTGTGAGATTTTAAATCATTGTTTAGTGAATAAGCAAGTGCGCTGGATTGTGTATGTTGTATATATTGGCCCCAGCAGCACCCTACAATGTATGCATGTTCAGGTGACTGCAGCCCTCTTGGTTTCAAATATATATACCCAAGTAAGTATTTTCACACTAACAGGTAACAATTTGTGAAGCAATGGATATACAATTTCTCATGAGAATAAATAATCGATATTTGACTTCTCACAAGGATTGTTATATTGTATTATATATTTTATTACTTGTGGAGCTGTTATGTTATAATTCTTCACCTAAGCCTGTGAAACTATTACACATTGTCTTTTTGTTATTTCAGTAATGTACCATCTATTACTTCTCCAGAGGAACGCATTGTCTCATTGCTTTACGAACGGCTTTTCTCTGAAGCTGGATATTCTCATGCAGAGAGTGAGGACGGTCAGCATTGTTTCACGGAGCCAAATCCGGGAAACTCCAGGAAGTGCCTCTAGTGGCTGTCTGGTAAACAGACACTTTACTTATCTTACCACTTATTGCACTTTCTCAGTATATGGTGAAAATGTCTACAATCATAAAAATACTGTGACGATGGATTATTTTATTGCATTTGATCAAACCAAATATCTACATGTCAAAATTTTGCTTGAACAGAAGAGTATAACTGAACAAAATTATGAAAATAACTTAAAATTGTGCCATTTCTAATGCATACAATGAAGCTTCAGTGATGGATGACAGAATAGCCAACTGTAGGAGGGTTCTCCTACTCTCCTCTGTCATTCATGTCTCAGCACTAAGGTCTATGCAATTTGCTTAGCCTTATACGATGATAATTTATTGACAATTAAGAGGAGGAATGTTATTTTTATTTAGACTTACTTAAAATTTTATACATTTCCTAGCAATTCTACTGATGCATTGAGTAGATGAAACGTTATAGTCTTTTATATAAACGTAATTATGTGTACATTAACAGATACGGATATAGTAACAGCTATGATGGATAAACTGTTAGTTTGGGTGTAATTTAAATCACTGCTTAAAGAAAAGTGTATACTTTAATATATAAACTGTCTATTAACAATTTCTGCAGTTTAAAAGCTCTCCTTAGTTTGGGAAAACATCCAGAAGAGTTCATCAGTAACAATTTAAGTTACACAAACCTGGCATATGTTGACAGCAGAAACAAAGTGCGACGTGGCTTTAAAATACACTAAGTAATCAGCTGAAATGTAAAAAATGATGTCTGTTATCCAAAAATGCTGACTCCACAGTCTTCAAAATGTGCTTAGTTGGAAGAGAAGTTTAATAACAGTTATTTATAAAAAAAAAGATATTCAGTCTAAACTGACAATTGTAATAAATACCAATGCACTTTCATTTTGGCTTCTTCTACTGTTGATGCATTTTAATATATGATATTTTGAAAATCCATTAGACAGCTTGTTTTAATGGATATTATACTTAATGTAAACAATGTTCATTATATGATCTGTCTGGCATTTCAGTGAGCAATTCATATTTTATGATTACATGTTATGTGGATTGTGGTATCATGTCCAAAAGTCCATATCTCAGGAGAAGCACTGGAAAATTATTTAATTGCACTGTGGCAGACAAAAAATAAATAACACTCACTTTCAATTCACTATACAGTACATTGTTTACTGTGGGGCTCTATGATGTAATATTCATAGCATATGAGTACATAATGGTTCCAATGTACACAGCGCACTGTAAGTGTAGAGGTGTAATTATATAGAGGCTCATTATGACAGTAGGGATATTTTTGTTTGGAAAAATACATGTTGTGCCTTTTATGATTTGTACTGGTGACTGGAGAAGCTGAGCAACTCATAATGTTTGTTTGTTTTTTAGTTTAAAAAAAAAAAAAAAAAAAGCCTAATTTTCTGGATAAAGACCCAGCAGGCCTGGCCTGTCATTGGAACCCCTCTGTTAGTTGACCAAATATGTATTGTAATGGACCGCCTGGCACCCCAACTGGTTACCTCCGTTGACGGATGCTCCTAGTGCTTACCGAAGGCTCCAAGCACTCCACTAGACAACATAACCACCGCAGAACACACGAACCACCGCAGCTTGGTTGGGATCTCACCGTCTTCCACTCACTCTGGACCCAAGACCAGGATCCAGCTTCCAGTAGGTAAACCTCTCTTAATCCAGAGAGCAGGAACAGGAACAAGCTCTTACAAGAGCTCAGTGATTATACTCTGGGGAGTATAGTGATTATAGGAATCCCCAGAGTGTAGGTAGTTCTCCAATCCCCCCAAACATGAGCCGAAACTTCATGAAGGGTAGAACAAGTCTGAAGCTTTATTGGTACAGGTTGGCTTATATACAATTCCTCAGGCCAGAGGCACACCCCCTCGACCTGATGGAGCACCACATTAAAAACTGTACAGAGCAATAAGAACAGTATAATAATGTCCGACACTCCCACATACATTAAACAATCCCTCCCCTCTGCCTGTGATATAATTAAGGTAGTTAATGCATAAACCTAATTATCCACAGGCAGAAAATACACAAATTTAAACAAAGTCTAGAAAACACCCCAAAACATAACATATCCCCATAAACATCTTACATCCCCTGATAGCTCTGATCTGGGTGAACAACATATTCAAAAATCACCCAGATCAGATCAGGGGTTCAGACATTTTATGGAAGTCATATTTTTGCCCAGGCGAACCCAGGATTTCATGCCCAAAACAGTTCCATAGATTCGCGGCAAAGAGCCACTGGAGGACCGACCGGGAACCGCAAGGTTTTCATGCTGAAAATAGTTCCAGGGCATTCGCGCCTAAGTCCCCCTGAAGTCTATTTGTGGTTTTAGTCCATGTGAACAAGATGGCCGCCACCACGTGTTCGAATGTCGAATGGCGGCCACTTGTTCAGGAGTTCGAAGAACCAATGTTTAAAGTGCCAATAGGCAAAATTAGGGTCTCTCAGCCAAAATAAATTTAAGGGGCCATAGTCACAGGGTAAAAGGCTGTCCAGTAGTCCCCTCCAAGACCCAGTGGCAAAGTTGCTTTCGTCACATGTGTCATTTTGCATAAAGTCTAATAAAATGCGCTCCTTGTTGGGCCTAAGACAACATCGGGAACAGACATAGTCAACCAGTATATAAAATATGAAAGTGATCTGTGTATAGAATAGGGGCTTAAACAAATACCAGAAATGTCAATTGTAGCAGCTACCACGCTGATGTGGAAATCTCTCCTGTCCACCCAAATATAAACACAGTGAAATAAGGAGGTTAGAAGTTGAAGTCCAACACCAATCTCCTAAGTGGAGCACTAATTAAAACACACTTATCCCAAATACAGAACTGCAGTTAGAAACAGTCCTGTATTAAAAATAGGGAAAAAAAAATCTAATGGTGTAGTATGTTGTAATAAATGTTTAACTCGCAAGTTGGAATAAACTTGGAATTAATAATAACATTAATAACTAAAAATAATAACTTAAAATAATAACTTAAAAACCGAGTGTAAAGTCAGAGTCCACACTCCTTGCT